TTGGTTTTACATTCACCTATACGTACGTATATACTGAGTAAGATATGTAGTATAGAGGATGCTCTGTAATGATGCGGAAAATTGATTTCCAGATTTCAACGAAATGCATGTTTTGGGGTATGATATGAAGTATGGTTCTTATTTTTTTCAAAACGTCCGGCCGTCTGTCTACCCCTAGGGCAGATATTCACTGGTCGATCTGACTTGTCTCAAAGCTTTACTAGTTCGAACAACATTGTTTAAAATTTGAGGATACTTTCAGAGATGCCCCAAGGACATCTTTTATATTTTCTCAAAATTGGCTCCATTTTTTCTTCGAATTTGTTGTAAGAATATAATGAAATATGTTTTCAAGGTGGCATGCGTCCCATGTTTATTGTTAACTATGATTTTTTTGAAGGTTACGAAAGTTTGAATATTTCTAGGCGTCTCCTCACAACTACACTATTGAAGATAGATATTTTTTTCTTGAAATGAAATTTGTTTTCCCCAATTAGTTCTTATATTGATGTCATGCACATTTCTTTGAAAATTTTAGTAGTTTTCGTGTAATATTGCGTAAAATATGTGCATCACAAAAAATATTAAAAACCAGAAAACGGCTGCCTTTTTTTCCAAACTTTTGGCAGGGATGTTTCTAATTGTGTCTGGGTCTAATCTCTGTAAGATAACATAAACGCCGTAATGCTTTATTCTTTTTTTTATTTTTAAAAACTCTCACTTCTTTGTCATTTCTCTCACGTCCTTAATATTTACATTACCAGAGACTTGTATACACTATTGCGATTGTTTAATTAATGTCTCATGAATAGAAACCGGAAAAAATATGTCCTATGAAAGTCAACGTATGTACATGAATAATGAAAACAGTAAGAAAATGTAATGAATATGTAAAATAGGATAAAATATGTAATATTAAAATACACAATTATAAAATGAACATTTTCGTAATACAAAATTACATTTATAAAAAATACAATATAAATTTTGTTAGCATGTTAGATCTGCGACGATTCGCGTACATTAAATTTTTTAGACTGGTAAGTAGAAAGGCAAAAATATGTAATTACATAAAAATCCGGTCTCTACTCAAAGTTCCTCGAAAATTGAAAGGTATTCTGAGAAATTGAGCTCGCATATCTGCATTTTCAGATACACTGAAACGTTAGTTTCTTATTTTTTTTGAACGAAAATGTATGACGAAGATTTATTTTTCTATAGTATTCTTAAAGTCATGTTTCGGTTTTATCATTAGGAATATGAAAAATTGCAGAAAAAAGTGAAAAAATTATCTTTAGGTAGAAATGGATGGCAGCTGAGAAGAGGATGGAGTAAAACCAAAAATATAGTTCAGAGCAAAGAAATAAGGAAAGGAACTATTTTGAGGTCTGTGTCATTCTGTAGCATTACTAGTTTATCTTATTTCACAAGTCACACTAATGGTGCTAAAATTGGGACAGACGTTCTCGTATCCTCTATAACCGAAGTATAGAACTGAATTTATCTTGGAAAAATTGTTTCCAAATAGTTCCTATTTTTATTCGGTCATTCTTCGAAAACGTCCGGTAAACTGAGGGCTACTTTGTGGCTCAAGAATGATCAGTAGCAGCGATAGCGGAGAAGGAGTGAGAAGTATAAAGAGGAAAAAAGTCAGGAAGCAAGCGAGCCAATCAGTATTAGTGAACTCTGTAAGGGTATTCGCAAAGATGCCTATTTGCGAACCACAGTCCCAATGCCGCGTCGGATTTGGAATTCCCGGACCTTCTACGCGTGAGGATCGTAAAGTAAGCATAGCAAAGTTTTAAAAAATGGAATTGAACTAAAAAATTGTCATTATGATAATTATTTCTTGCAAACTCAACCGTTTTCTGTAAAAACTAGATCAGAACTCCGCATTCTCTGAAATGCTCAAACAGCCATTTTCTCAGAAACGACTCCAAATCTTTTCTTCATACATTTCGAACGGGTAGTGCTAATTGTACTCTTTAATATGACGTAAAGTTATTTTTTTCCAAAAATTACACAAATTAAAATATTTTGAAAAGTCTCTCATGGCGTTGATATGCACGTTTCCAGCAAATGGCAAACACTATTGTATTTGTGAGTTAATGTTCTTAAAATGACTTCAAATTAAGTTTTTCGAAAACTCAAAAAATATTTCTGTGAAAAAGTGCTTCAATTTACAGTAGCTCTCAAACGCCAGTTCTTTTTTTAAATGGCTCTAAATTTTTCAAAGAGAACTACCATTTAGGACAAGATTTTACTGTTCTTTAATAATCTTAAAATATTACCGCTCTGCAATTAGGAAACGGAAAAATTAAGAAAATGTGAAAAAAATGTACTTAGGGCGGCGATATATGACACTTGGCAAGATGGTTCGGTAAGCCCGAGTAGCTAATCGAGATAAAAGGAAATAGAAAACGAATACCGGAAAGTCTGTGCCATTTTGTAGAACCACTAGTTTAAACATTTTCTTAATTTTTCGGTTTCCTAATAGTACACGGTAATAGTGATTTAAGAATAGTAAAACATCCTAAATGGCGAATTTCTTTGACAAATTTGGAGCCGATTTTAAGAAAATGGTGTTTAGCGCTTTTATAAATTCAAACTTTGATGCTCTTTTCCACTGAAAATGTTTGTTTTTGAAAAACGTCATTAGAATTCATTAAAATCAGGTTAACTCAGAAATACAATAACTGTTTTTACAAATTGCTGGAAATGTGTATAATAACAGAGTGTAACAAATTTCATTTGGAGGAATCGCCTCTATTTTAAATTTTGCAGTTGTAGAAACTCGCCGAAAAACATTTTAAGTTTTGCAATTATCGAAAATTCAGAATAGTCATTGAAAATCTTACCTATGCCAACATTATAAATGTATTTTACTCTATTCATATACTTGAAAAATGTCCCAAGGGCTTCATTTCAAGTACTCCCAAAAATTAATGAATGTTTTCGAAATCGCAGAGCTTCGACTCAGGTCACATCGACGGGTTTATTCAGTTTGGAAAAAATCGTTCGCCTAGTGTTGGCGCTAGTATTGTTATTCACACACACCAGACAGACCTATTGCCGCCCATCGATTTTTCGGTATCAAGGATCCACAAAACATGGATTGTAGCTACACCACGTGGAGGATTTTTTTTCTTAATTTAGAAATTGGATTTATCCCTTTTTTCGCAATCAGGGCTCGGCATTACATAACCTTCCCTATACTACGTATATTACTCCGCATATACGTATGTATAGGGGAAAGTTAAAATCGCAAGGATATTCGACTGAAGTATTCAGTTTGGAAACAATCCTACTCATATTTTAGGCGCTGTTCACAGACGTCAGACGGAGTTTTGTTTTTTTAAATTTGTTGCATCTTTAAGTACGCATGGAATCTCCAAGAACTTTGGGAGGCTTTGAGCGCTTGCAATAATCCTCCATTAATTTATTGCGCTTATTAGCAGTAATCATCATTACTAGTATGTCATGTCACTTCTCGTCGTAGTCAGTTGTCAAGAGAACTGCGGTGTAGCATCTCGGCGTACGCGCTCCTGCTTTACTGCCCAGCTGCCAGAATTGGGAAGGAACAAGAATAGGGTAAAGGTTTAGGACGCTTCACAGGGGTTGGACTAGCCCCTGTGAAGCAGGCAAACTGTGTGTGAGTGAGCCGTTTGTAACGACACCCTGTTTACTGTATCAGGGACTCAATATTTGTGAAATCTGACTAAAAACGTGTTTAAAAAGAATAATTAACTACATATTAGAACGGGATTTATACACTTATGTATTACAGCCCCACAGGTTTTTCTTTCGAAAAATCGCGGTTTTTTGGCATAGCATTACATTTATGTTATAACTTTCTTTATACCTCGTACGTGTACGAGAAGTAAACATTCAGGACATTAGGCAGAAACAAAGAAAAATCTTGCAGGACACATGTCGATATTCAGAATGTATGGCAACCCTTACATCCGAAAAAAGTTATGCTATCCATATGGTGGAATTATAAGGATGTACTACATTATGAGAGGTTACCAGCAGGCAGGACCGAAGATACAACTATTGTTTGCAGTTAAGTATACACATTCCACATCAAATACCTGGAATAGACAAATCGAAAGGGTGAAGTCTTCCTGCATGATAATGCGAGACTGCACACATTGTTAACCAGTATAAACTGTTGGGTATTGGTTGGGAAGTTACCTGGCGCCTTTAAACTATCTACTGGCATAGATGGCTCAGATTATCAAATAATGTCACTGCAGTGCCTTCGATCGGGAGGTCCTTGGGGTCGAGCCCTAACGGTGGCAGGATTTTCGCCACTACCTACCCAGTAGGTCGAATGTAGCTGTCTGGAGAATTCTGGCGTCTGACTGCTCTGATATAAGTGGTTTTCCGTGGTTTCTCCGATCAACACCAGGTGAATGCCAGAACAGTACCCTAATAAAAAGGCCACGGACAGCGTGCAATCTTCTTTTTCTCTAACCTCATTCCTTACTTACACGCACTTCACTAACATTGATTCTGAAAGATCAGTCAAGAGCTTGCAGTTTTTCTCAGCTGAGGCATTGCTCTATTGGTGGGAAAAAACCCGCGAAACAACTGATAGGTCGGTGCCGGATCTCGCTACCCAGCGGGAGGTCATCTCCCGCGATAAAACCATGCACTACACTTACGGAACTAATAATCTTAGCAGTTGGTGCGGAACAAGTAGTGGCACGTGGGTATTCGCACGTTCGCATTTGCACGCCCAAATTAATTCGATGCAATTTCTCTTAAAAAGGGAATACAAGTCCTCTCAAATTTCCGAAACATTGTATTTCAAAACACGCGCCGTTTGGAAGCTGCGATTAACTGACAGGCCGCCGCCAATGTCCTTCGTGGCAGCCATCCGGAGCACAATCAAAATGCGAACGAGGAAAGCGCGTCGGTGGTTATATACAGCGGGGCTGCGGAAAGAGGAACAACGGTAGCAATGGACAATGGACAGTTGAAACACTGCAGACGATGCGAATTTTACTACGCAGACACAACGGCGATCTCTGCGTATGCCTCGCCATGTTACGATGCAGGTCGTAAATATTTCGGAAGGGTCCTTGGGCGAGAGAAGTCGAAGCGGATGTCGTGAAAAGAAATGCGGCCAACTCTCATTGCTAATTGAAGGCAGTGAACTAGTGCAGGAGCTATAATGCTGAGATCACTGATAAAAGGAACTGTTCAGCATGCTATCAAACTTCATGAGATGCCTTGTATTTAATTGTCATTATTTATAATAATGAATGAATGTATATGCTTGTACGTATGTACAAATGTGGGTGACAGAGAGAGGTTGGGAAGAAGAAAGAGAGAACAGAGGCATCACACACCCTAATAGCATGACCACAAGCCGCCACTGATTGGGAATCACTAATCAATCAAATAAAACTATCACCTGTTCCAATCAAAGTGGAATTCCTCAAACATTAAACATTAAATGGTACTATATTTATTTGCAAATCTCAGGAGTAAAGGGTAAATTCTCAAAATTTTGGTTTGTGTATTTTTCAATATGATATTTCTTATTATTATATTCAAACGCAATTAGTATTTACACATCCTAATCTTACATTTTAGACAGCTTTCACAAAAATTTCATTAAAGAGTATACAAGAAAATAAAACAACTTATGGTGCATAACTATTCCATTTATATAAGTATAAATATACATTTTTTTGTGTGTAAAAATACAAATTTTGGCCCTAGTTGGACTAGTCACATAATTATAAAAATTGAAGGACAACTTACCTAATGGCAAATTAATAATGTTATTTGAATGAGATCATGTATTTTCTTACATTTTATGACCAACAGTATGTGCCATCAATATTACTTCGTAAACTATCAACCACACGAATATACATATCAGGAGAACAAAAAGAGTCAATTAATGAACAATGAAGTCCACAATCACTGAGGTTTTCTTTGCAGAAAGCACCTGAAGCTGGGGTCTTTGTGGGAGTATGTACGGTAGTTGAATTTCCAATCTTTTCAGGTGTTTTTACTGTAAAATAAAATAATACATGGTGATAACAATTTGGAAAAAAAATTAAGTAAAGTAATTTTAAAACAATTCATACCTGAAATATCAACTGCAGTTTCTTTTCTTGAACTTATTGCACTTGCTACTTCAGAAAATGGTTTTGTAGGTTCTACATGAGCAAATGTCATGGAAAATGATTGCTTTTGTTTAATTAAACCGCACAGATTATGAACTGTATGAGGAAGAATTGGTCCACGTATTTCGATTGAATAGTATGACTTTGTGTCTACTTTTACTCGACTTTGTTGTACCTACAAATGAAAATCAAAATTATTAACATACATAATAACTGATAAATAAAACACATCATGTCCAATAAAAGCAAGCTGTTTTTATTTGTAAAATTTGTAATGTTGAAATTGAAATGAGAATTTTATTCAAGTATTTGAGTACTTGTTGAAATACCGACAGGTATCTGTAGATATTTCTTCCGAATCAATTTTCAACAAGGTAACTCCATTTTAAAACCATTTTTTGATATAGACATCTTCACAACATTTAATACAAAAGAAATACTTTCAAAATTTTGAGATTATAACTGAATGCATTATAATTTCAGTGAAGGAACAGTGTAGCATCAAAACAACCTACCTTAAAAGGTTTGAGATGAGCACCCCGAAAAGCAACAGGGGCAAGCAATGTAGGAGGAATACCTGCTAGGGGCCCTGTTGACGAAACTATAGATTTGCAATTATTCAGAAAATTAAAGAGAGCTTGGACATCAAAACCTTCCACATAAACGAGAGATTCAGAGCTATGATCGACTTCTCGGGATCTGTCTGACACCAGTTTTTCCTGTGGAAGCACGGAAGAAAGGACTGTAAACATACTTAGCATTTAAACACTACTTTTGAAAATGAAAGAACATTTTAAAATAAATAATAATAATAATTCAACTCTTGTCCAAACATGCTCTATATGTGTGAAATAATGTTTTATTACTACGGTTCAGTGAATGTTCTAACAACTTAATTACTAAAATCTCTCTTCCAAAATAAGTGTTATTTACTTGTCAGAAAGTTTCTCACAGTAATATTGTTTTGGTCTTACAACTGAAATGACATGTGTACGCACATACACACATGCTGTCTCTTAATATAATGAATAATCCTTGATCCCTTACACACAGACAAACCAATCTAGACGTTTGCATCAAATACAACCAATGTTTGTAACCAAAACAATATTAAATATCTTCTAAAAACCACTAGTGAGTTTGATTTTATAAATCCACGTAAATATTTTCATTGTTTATTTGCAATAAAAATGAGCCACTGCATGCAGATGCTTAAATAGAAAAGAAGCAAAATCACAGAAGACATAAAATCCTAGTCTGTTATGTATGTCAATAAAAGTAACTCATATTGAGTGTCCACAACATACTGGTTGCCTAGTTAAGGGTTAATAACATAGAAGCACAGTATCTAAACACATAATAGAAAAATGCAAAGACGTAGGAGAGGCAAATAAAATATAGGATTAATAGCTTATTAGTAGGATAGGCTATAGGACTTTTGTTTTTCCTCTTTTGTTTATTTGAAATCTGTAGTTCTGTTTTTTTTTAATTTATTGCAATGTTCAAGCATTTATTTTAACACAATTAACTATTACGGAGGAAAAGGAATTCCTCTTAATAAATACATATATCATGACAAAAGGAAGTACTCATTTCATTTCATTTGTCTCTCTGACTTTCCCACCTAGTATTCATCTCCTTCATTACCCTGCCTTTCCCTGACCAAAATGATTTTGATCACTTGAATTACTCAAAGCCTGTTGGAACAAATTAAAAACCCAGAACATTTTATGGCTTTCAAAAGATCATTTTTCAGACGATTTCCTCACAATCTTTACTTTCTCGCACTTAGTAATGTAAGGGGAGAAAATATTGTAATAGTGTGGCAGTAAACTGTGAATTTTTGACACAAAAACTCTTATTGCTGGACCTTGGTAACGAAAAAGTGGATAAAATAAAGAAAATAGCATCTTTTAGGTGGTGTAGCCAGACTCCATATTTTGTGCGTCCTTGATATGAAATATCAATTGACAGCAAAACCTCAGACTGTCCACAACACTACTGCATTAACTGTTTAGCCAATTTTCTCCAAAATTAATATTCCTCAAACATTCTGGCTTATGTTGCGGCCTCTGGAATTTTAAACCAATATTTTAATTTAGGGGGGTACTTTACACAAAGCCACTCGGACATTTTCAATCAAAAATCATCAATTTAAAGAAACAACTTGGGGCTGTTTTAAAGAAAATCTTGCTTAGTTTCTTTTCTTTTTTTCCCCCCTTGATCTTACTAAAAATTATGTGAAAACCACTCATACTTTCAAAAAAATTACTTGTAACTTAATTAGAGGTCTTGTTTAGAAAAAAGGATTTCATCAAGAAAAAAGAGGGTTCAGTAATGTAGTTAGTGGAGATAGATTGCAAGATTTTGATCAGACCTTCAGCAATTTTTCAAAATTAGAAGTTAAAAAAAAAAGAACTCAGACATCTGCCATTTTTATGTGATCTGAATCATTTAAAGAAACTATTTGGAGCCATTTTTGGGAAAATCTGGAATACCTTGTTGAAGCTTAATGTACCCAACTCCAGAAAATTAATCCATCTCACGATTCACAGACCATGTCAACAGAGAATCAGGGAGTCTCAACTTTCTGGTGATAGTTTAGCATCTACAATTCTCTACTCATTTCCTGGAACAAATTACTCAGACTCTTCCCAATTTTCCCCCTTCCCGATTTTCCAGTAATTTTATAAAATTGTTTCCTGACTAATGTTTAATTTCACACAATTTAAAGAAAATATTGAAGTGAGCCTAATACTATTTGGTCAGCACTCTGATTTCACCATGAGAAAGTACAAAGTAAGTTTCCACAACAAATGAAAATTGAACAATAATGATGTACTAATGCTTTTAAAGAATAATATTCCTCAACTGAAAATTTTCCGACATTTCTGTTGCATTGAAATTCCCAAATTTTCCCTGTTTTCCAGAAACCGGCCACTCTGATCTAGCCTTGTTCACATAAAGATAGACCAGATCAGATCCAGAGAGAGGTTTTGATCAAAAACCTATTTTTATGCAACATGGATCCACAAAGTACAGATTCCGACTACACAACATATTAGAGAAAGACATTTACTACTTAAGGGAAGTAAGAACATGGCCTCAAAGTAAATAATACATTGGAACAAAAATAATCATTTGTTTTCCATGGAAAGACATAAGAGAGGATATCATTCTTCTGTCTATGAAGACACCTCAAACAAACAAGCCCAAATATGGGAAAATGCAAAGGGTGCAATCAGACATTGAACAAGAAGAAAAGGATCTTACCTGGTGAGCATTAAGTTTCTTAATCTCTGAAGCTTCCATACCCATACTTTTCAACCATTCATCTGCTGTCTCGTCGTCATCATCATCATCATCATCATCATCAATTTCTTCATTAACAGCAGAAGTCTTTGAAAAGCTAGATTGTGATTGGTCATCAGTGATTGAATCTAATGTATCGTAGCCAGTATCACTGTTACTATCACTGGAAAGACGTTTTGTTGGCTTTGATTTTCTAAGTGGCATGGTGTACTGCACATCTGAAAAAAGTCAATTTCTCTTTTCAATGTTCTTTTTATATCTAAACTTACTACTATCTATTAGATATAATTGTCAAACAATGACTTTTCATACAAAAACAGAACTCAATTACGGATCTCACATGGAAAATTTCCATGTTAATTCAAATTATCTATATGAAATTGTGATAATTTGTATTCTCTTTGACAATGATTTCATTTGAAGCTTTTTGTTTCACTAGGATTGTGTAATGAATAAAACAATATCACTACTAGTGTAAATAGATATGATAAAATGAGCACACTTGGCTCTTTGAAATTTCTGAAAATTTTTTAATGTTATCCAACAAAATGGAGTTTTCTGTTAAGCTATCTGAGCTATCAACAGGAGCTCCATATGAAGTAGTAATAGCAACATTTAAGTATTTATAGAATTTCAATGCTTAGTACAAATCATAAATCAAATTTTTGAAGTAATTAACTTTCCTCACAGTTTTTTGCAAATATTTCTGCAGTCATCAGTCATTATTTATATTTGTAATGTAATTTACACTCTAGGTGTACTAGACATTTAAATCAACATTAAAAGAAGAAAAATTAATTCCAGTTGTCATAGTACAATTACTATCACGAACTACCATCAGCAAATTCATATTGCATAACACAAAATGCAAATTCAGTGTGCTAGCTCAACACTGCATTTATAAATTTTAAAGATATCTGAAATGCATGGAGTCATGAATGTCCATAACAATCATGTAGGTAAACATCACTAACTCATCTATGTAGGCTTAACAATTGCCAGAATGCATTGATCCAATTTCTGTCAGAGAGCACAAAACTAGTGGAGCTTCAGAGTGGCGCAGACTTTCTCATACCAACTAGTTAGTTTTCTAATTTCTTTGGTTTGGGCTACCTTTTCTGACTTGCCACATACCATGCCAGCAGCCATCTAAAGCCACCCAAAATATATTTTTTTACATTTTCTCAATTTTTTGATTTCCTAATAATAGAACTGAAATATTACTTCAAGAATATTATAAAAGAGTAAAACCTTGTCCTATAATGATATTTTTGTTGAAAACTTGAGTTGTGTTTTTTTTTTTTAAGAAAATGGTGTCAGTCTTATAGTAAATGAAAAATTTGAAGCTCTTTTTCACAGATCTTGTTAATTTTGGAAAACCATGGAAGTCATTTGAAGCATGTCTACTCACAAATGCAATACTGTATACAAATCACTGGAAATGTGCATATTAAAGGCATGAGAGATATTTCAAAAAAATTACTTTTGTGTAATTAAAAACAAACAAAAGACTACAGCAAAATTATTTTTATGCCATCTTCAAGAGTGCAACTGGCACTGCCTATACAAAACGTTTGTCTTCATTACTTCATTTCAGTGTAAACTTGAAACTAAACTTCGAATTTTATGTTACTGAGCACAAATAGAATTATAAATAGAGAAACTTAAAACATTTAGAATCTTCAGAAGCAGAGGAAAGTTCTGAGTCCACAGACATTTCTCAACATTTCACGTTTATTTAACAAGTAAAGTCTTTTCTGTTGTACAACTATTTTTACTTAATAATAGAACACAAGTATCAATAATAAATATTAATGTAGTGCCAATTTCATATATTATCACATCATTAGCACTACTGATGCCATTGTACATCTGGTAATCTCAATGATACGACAATACAGACTACTGGTCAATGCCTGCAACAAATTCAAGTTCTCCTAGGCGAGTGCCTTACTCAAGATTTTTTGTATAGTTTCCCTTCAGTCATTGAGCAACTATGTACCTTGAAAGGTGTCAACCATTTGAATGCTTCCGCACTTTCTCAGAATATTATGTTCATTTTTCAGGTTTTTTTTTTTTTATCTTAGTTAAAAGATTAACCATGGACAACATACCTTCATTTTTAAGCAACTGACGAAAACCAGATGTGGTTGGAGTTATAAAAGCATGAATATGAGTCTTTCCACCGATTCCAGCAGCTCGGAAGAGGCATGTAAAATTATTGGCACACACATAGAAGTAAGGACATTGTAGAGCTCGAACTAACTGTATAATAAAAAGGCTTAGCAGTTAATACAAACAACCCTTTGTTAACATTACTCATCCTATTAAGAACATTTTTTTTACGAAACCAACCTGATATAATGAACGTAAGCTCACTCGCCATTCATTGTACAAGCTCTCTCTAAGTTCCGGATTGGAGCCAATAAAACTAGCAGATGTGGAGCTCACACGTCCAGCCGTACGTGGAAAAACAGAGAGCCATGGGAAAGAGGGATATTGCCATACCAAACAGCACTGAAGGAAACGGGCATTGGGACTTGTATCTAATGAGCATGTTGTACTCTTGTTTTTTTCTGGGCTCAATCCAGAATTAACACATCTCACAAAACTGTAGGCAAAAATAATTATAAGTTAACACTTTCAAAACACTCACAAGTATTAATGTTTATTTTAAGTCACTAACCCTGTTATTCCTGATGCTTCTTCACAGGCCTTCAATAATAAATCCCATGGGAAAGGTTTTTCAGACATTAATCTGATTTTACTTTTCAATGACCAATCCACTGGAATATAATTATTTTCATTGTGCACAATAGGCTGCAAAACAAAACATTATTATTGTTGCAGCTCTAGAAAAACATGTTCTTTCAGATTGAAAAACATTTTATTTTGAAACATAATCATTGTGGACTTACATCAGTTGTTTCTCCTTTAAGTTTACTCAAGATACTGGAAAATGACGTTTGCATCAGCTCATTACTGTGCTTATTTTCAGAAGTTCCACTTGCCGTGATCAATTGAAATAATGTTGTATCATTCGAATTTTCAAGTTCACTGCTAGAAATCTCACACAAATTGTCACCTCCTTTCAAGCGTTTATTTGTTTCACACCTAGGATTAATAACCAAAATATTTAAAAATTGGACTTCAACCTACCTGACAAACATGAACCGTCACAATAACATTAAGGTTAAAAACAAAATAGATTTACCTAAAGGGATTCTTCCTCTTTCGAAGTAAGTCTCTTTTCTCAAAAACATCATTACAAGTTGTGCCGGGGGTTGTAGGCGGAGGTAGAACCTCTTTACACAAACGGGCGTTTAATGCTCTTTTTTTCTTGAGCAAATGCAATTTCATAAATTCATCTGGCCGTTTCCACCCTACATTGGAAATATCAGTTACAGGCTCCTGATTCTCGGCCATTATCTATTAATTAATAAAATTGATGACTTCGAATCGCCAGATGCAACTGTCTCGGCGAAATCTTGATAGGAGTTATTGACTCCTACACGGCACTGTTATTTACTCATAAAATAAAACGTTTATCTCGTCCATCTCATTGTCAGCTTGGATATTAACTTACGGTTCGATTATTAAGTTATCAACTTCACTGCAAGTATACACATTACAATACACCACAATACACTACTGTTTACACGACGTATACACAGCTCTTTAGATGTGTTTAATGTCTACGACTTTTGCTTGTTTTGGATTGTTCTGTAACTGTGTTGGTTTGAAACTTCAGTGGTACCAACAGTCACGGCTGAAAAATGTGAGTATTACCATAACCCGTAGCAGAGTCAAATACCAAATACTATAGAGACAATACAGGACACTTCGCGATATATCGAGAAACACTGATGCCAGCTCTATCTAGTGGCAGAACCTGGTGAAAACAAATACAGCCTAAGCTCAGTGTTCTGTTGGTGTTTGTTTTCTGCTCAATTTCTTTTAATTTGATTGTCTTTCTGGACAATTTCTGGAAAACTTATTTTACAATACTGTTCTTGGCATCCTTCCTTATGGCAGGAAAAATTTGTGCAGTTCTTCGCTGTTTTAAATATGGAATTCAAAAGAACTCGCCTTCGTTCTTCACGTAAAACTAGTTTATCGAATGTAGATAAAAAGCATAAATAAAGAAACTCGCGTATTCTGATTAAGCAGTATGTGAATGCCACTCTTGCTACGAAAATGAATTAGCTATTAGTTTGTTTTCGAAAAATATATGTTTGTTTTCGATAGAGACTTTTAAATTTTTTACGTCAAAGTAAACTTGTGGTAAAAAACAATTAATTCAAATCATTAATATTTAACTGCAAAATATTGTATGTGAGGAGTGCACTAATTTGCATGTAAGCGGAGGTATAATGTATTGGTAAACTGCTTTTAAAGAAAGTAAGTGAAAATATACCAAATGTATCACTGGAAGTGTTGAGAAAAATCTTGCATTTGAACCCATTTTATTCTTGGAATATATAAAACATCTCTTTTATACATTGTTACTTTCCGTAAATTAAACCATTCAATATAATTAAGTCTCAGAAAAATTAGCTAAAAATGAGTCTTATTTCGTGAGGTCAATTAAAAAAAAAAATTCTTCCGTAAGAATCATATTGATGTCTTTATTTGGCGCTGAAGTACCAGGTTCTGACACTAAAAGCGCTAGTAGGAACTTGTTTTCATCACTTGTGTCTCGGGAGAGCAAATTGCGGTGCCACGATTGTATGCGAAGAATGCCGAGCCGCTGTCTGTGATAGTCGCATGGCGGGAAATTTCAAACTTAAATTTGAAACGAGACTTATGACCACAAAACATATGTGATGAAAAACTGAATTTATAAACAAAATATTAATATATTAATTAATTCAATATTAACATTAATTATATAAATGTAATATAGCAGTATTGGTATATTATTTATGTTTTTATTAAATTGTTATCATTTCCACATCACTTGATTGAAGAGATAATCTTTGACGCGATTTTTTAAAGTGATATTCTCCAATTGAGGCGACCATCCACTATGTAAATTAATTAATAAATAAATTAAAATTAAACAAATAAATTAATATATTTGATAATGAATTAGCTAATATAATGAGCAGCATCAGTAAAAACGTACAAGAATGAAACACGAAATGTCTAAAAATAAGAATTACTTGTAAGAAGTATTTCATTAATTTTTGGAGAGCTTAAAATGTTATTGTATGTAACGATTATGTAAATATGTATGTATAGTGTTCATATATGTATTGTAATTTTTATGAATTGATGCAGTCAAAATAATATTAATATTAATTGAGAGCTCATCTTATAGTTCTTAATAAACTAACATCCATAGATCCCATAAGGTAGGAATGTCCCACCGCCGGTGACGCTGAACGCGCGTTGCACTTATTTAAGTTCGTTCACAAAAACTGCACACAAGATTTGCTCCTCACGGCGCATACCAGCCCTGAGGAAGACGCCGACGACAGGGATGTCGAAACGTCGGCAATCAGCCTTACGACGCGGCGTCACCCGGACAGCCCAGATCACCCACATGACTCTCGGTCGCAAGACGAGCGAAAGCTTACGACTTCAAGAGTTGGAAAAATAGGGATAGTGAGTATTCCTTTGTTAAATGAGCGGAATTGTGACGTGCAAATTCAAGATAGAGAGGGGCCACTTAGTACTTATAGCGCTGTATTGCCCCAGGAAGAAGAAGGAAATAGGACACACGCGACGTTTTATGACGATCTTCAAAAACAAATAAGCAAAATAAACAAAAATAATCATTCTCGTTCTGCGGCGACCTAAGCGCCAGGGTTCGGTAACATTCGCATTCCGGGAGTTGTCGGGGTATGTGGAGAAGAGCACTTAAATAAAAACGGAGAAGAACTTAGACAGTTTGCAGCCTTCAATAAGTGGAAAATTGCTAAATACCTTTGTCAGGAAAAAAAGAAATACACAAGTCACCTGGAGTGCCAGAGGCCTCAGATCCACTGATAGGTATGGTAATCGCAAATGTTTAAAATAGTAACCAAATAGAGAATGTACAAGTACACCGAGGATATGATATGATGATTCAGACCACTACCTTAGTGATTGCAAACAATAGTAATGGTTAGCCAAAATGGAAGAAAATTAGGACCAAGGAAAGAGAAATTGTCAGGAAATTTTCAAAGTGGTACTTACTTAACAAGAAAAGCATTAAAAAAGGACTATATCAAAAATCGTTTACAAACAATTTCTGTCAAGGTGTTGCAACTGTTGATGATGTGGATAAGGAATGGCAAAATAAGGAATGCATAGAGAGGCAGCATATTGAAAACTTTAGCGAAAAGAAAAAAAAAGCATAAGAAAGAAAGGGGACTTGCAGAGTATGGAACGATTGTTATAGCGAAAAAGCCATAAAAGATAAAGATATATCAAATAAAAATTCCTTCAAAACAAAACCCAAGAAGCTAAAGAAGAATATAAACAAAAAAAAGGAATAACGCCTAAACAAAATAATAAGATCTGCACATTAATGACTCATGGGACAGGTTTATAAGGTACCATCGAACATTGATATACATGGAAGACAAATGTTCGGCGTACAAAGCGTAAGACATTTAAATCAGACCCGAGAAAGATGTTGCCAGATATACGCATAATCAATGAAGAACAATGAAGGAAACCACTATTATAAACCTGGGTGTACGGGGAACTTGTTGAACTAAAGAGAGAGCTCGCTACAACAATACTGGTTAAAATCCATCTTCCTGGAATGAATTAAAGCAAGCCTTGAACTGTATAAAAACAGGAAGGCATGTGCGTCCTGATGGAGGTAACATGGAACTCAATAAAAATATGTAGCCCCCTAAGTGAATTAGACTGCCTGGCATCTGTTCAACGAAAGCTGAAATCTATAAGACACCCAATAGCTGGAAAATAACAGAGGTCATATCTATTCGTTTATAAAAAGGTAAAAGAAATAAATGATGCGAAAACTACAGGGGTATCAGCCTCATTGAATGCTGCTTATAAAAAATTTTCAAAAATTATCAACGCTCGATTAGAAAATTTAGAGCGGAGGCTAAATTACAAGAAGACAATCGGATTTCGGAAAAGGAACCTTCTTGTAAACTACAACATTTTAGTTCTTAAAAGAATATTAGAAAAACGACGCAGAAGTAAAATAAGGGAACCCATAAGCCTTTATTGACTTCGAAAAAGCTTTTTGATTGCGTGGACAAGAACAAGCATGGAAAATAATGAACGAAAGTGGCCTACCTGAACACTCATAAAAACCATAAAGTATGGATAAAGAGACAAAAAATTATAATAAATACTTGCATAAAGAGACCTGAAAAATATTAATAAATAGCGGACTTAAACAAGATGTAGTTTTATCTCCAACACTATTCAAGATATATATATATATATATATATTATATATATATATATATATATTATATATATAGTGACCTTAGTAAAAAATAGAGATGCAATAGCTAGTTCTGAATACCAGTTGAAAGCAGAATAAACACTTAAATGTTCTACTTTATGCAGATGACCTAACAATACTGCAAGAAAGTTGAAGAGTGATCTGCCAAAAACTGTAACACACTGCATTCAACTGGAAAGAAATGCAGTATAAAGCCGAATATCTCAAAGAAGACAAAGTTATGGCCCATTAACGCGTAAATAATCCCATACGCGCAAAAAAATAGTTATTGACAACCCACAGTTGATCGACCGACTTCCAAATTTTAATTACCTTGCGTTGTGAATCAGTTATTGACACAGATAAAGACATAGAAAAATAAAAACTAATTTAAATTTCAATCAATATGTGAAATAATAAACAGAACACTACAGAACAAAGCAGGAAAGACACAAAAAATGAAGTTCTATAAGACCAATGGCTACTCCAGTTCTCCTGAAGTGAATCATAGATAATGAAAAAAAAGAGACCAAAGTAAGCTCCAAGCAGCAGAAATGAGATGTCTTAGGAAAGTTAAAGGCTGGCATTAAACAAGAACAATGAGAAATGAGGATAATCCGTGAAAGAAACTAGATATATTTACAACATTAAAAATTAAAGGATCTGAGAAAACAGGAAAGAATGGCGGCGCCATTCAAAGAATGGAGGAGATCGTATTTCACAATTATGTGATGAACTACCAACCAAGGAAGAAGAGATATCGCCGCACCCAGAAAGAATGGACCTTGAAGTGCAAAGTGAAGACGAACAGTCATTTCTCCTAATCCTTGAAATGGAAGAAAGAAGAAGAATATAATATATATATATATATATATATATATATATATATATATATATATATATAATTATATTCAACAAAAACACGTTCAATCAGTTTACACTTCCCAACTTATCAATTATGTTAAAAAATTGAATGTTATATATATATATAACATATATATGGTATATATATATATATATATATATATATATATATATAAATATAAATATATATATATATAAACATTCAATTTTTTTCAATCATTTCAAAATCATTCCTACTGCGTCATCACTCCTCACAATCACTAGTTCTACCATCAAGTACTCTATTAGAAACACTTTCAGCATTGTATTTACATAAGGTGTTTTATTTATTAAAACTAAGGCGTTTTTGGAACATTCTTTTATTTTTCGTTATTTGGAAGAGTGTGGGTTAATTTACAAAAATTACAGGTTTTAATTTACAAAGAATTGCTTTTATTACAAACAAAGAACAAGAGCATGCTTTGTACAGTTAGATAAATTTGTAATTACATGGGAAGTTTTGAATCTAGAGAAGAATAAATAAAATTTAGTCCCGATTTTATA